CTTGCCAGGCAGGCGCTTTTGCCGCTGAGCTAAATCCCCAGCCCCGGGTGTACATTTATTGAAGGCAGAAAAGAAATTCCCCAGGTCAAAGCTGGGTGTTGTAGCACATCCTGTAATCCAGCACTTCAGAAGCTGAGGCAGGAGGATCGCCGTGGCCAGCCTGGGCTCCATAGTGAATTGGTCTTTGGTATCCAAACTTCCTGGATCAGCTTCTCCCTCATGCGAATAAGAGACTAGGACATTTGCCCTATCAAAAATTCACTTGGCCTGCCACCACATTAAAACCATCCTCTGGAAAGACTCACTTGGTTTCCCCCCAGATGCAAATAAAGAATCGAAAATACCGCTTTCTGATTGGCTCCAGGTTTAGTGCTTAGGAGCTGGGCTGTGGTTTGGAGCCTGTGTTCCGCGCATGTCCTCTGGGTTCTTACCACCTTCCAGCAGTTCTTTGTCTGGTTTGCCCCTGCCTGAATCTCCTGCCTCAGCAGCACCAGCAGTGCACCAGAGCATCTTCTCAGGATATGAGCTTTGGCCAATTTCATAGGTGAAAAATGCTACCTTAGAGCAGTATTCATTGGTGTCTTCACCCCACCCCTCATCTTTTTCCTTTCCTTCTCCTGTCCTGGGCAGTAGGCCCAGGCCCTCAGCCATGCCACGCATGCGCTCTCTTGCTGAGCTGTCCCCACCTGCGTTGGTCAAGTTTTTGTCACAAGTGAGGGTGAGCGCTTTTCCGTAAAGTTAAGGACCACCTGTCTATCTTTCTCTCAGATAGTTCTGTTCTTTTGTGCATTTTTTTTTTAAAATTCAGACTTTTTGTCTTTATCATTTTTGAAAGTCCTTCACATATTAAGGAGACAAGCATCTTGAGTCTGATGTAAATTGTATGTATCTTCTCCAAGATTGTCCCAACTTTTATTTTCTACAGCCTTGTGCTTTTCTTTCTGTAACTGGAACTGAAACCAGAGGGAACAGACTGAGCTGCATCCCAGCCCATTTATTTATTTATTTATTTATTTATTTGAGACAGGGTCTCACGACGCAGTTCAGACTGGCCTTGAACTCACTATGTAGCCCAGGCTGGCCTCAGACTTGCAGTGATCCTCCTGCCTCAGCCTCCCAAGTACTGGGATTACAGGCCTGTGCCACCATGCCCTGCCTCCAGTCCTTTCAAAATTTTATTGTATTTTTTTTCCTGTGACAGGGTCTTGCTAAATCACTGAGGTGCCCAGTCTTCCAGAGTGCTGGAATTTCAGGTGTGTGCCATGATCACACCTGACTGACATCATTGTCTCTTAAGCAATTTCTAAATCTGTTTCAGTAGATTTATAAATTTTGTTTTTAGGTTTCCTCTAGCTTTTTCTTTTGGTGTGTGTGTGTGTGTGTGTGTGTGTGTGTGTGTTTTGAGACATGCCACCTCCTCCAGCATTTTATTATGAACCATTTCAAACCCACAGAAAAGCTGAAGAAATTACAAGATGATCACCTAGATTCTACCACCAACATAGAACCATCACTAATTCATTTGCCTTTCCCATACTGTTCAAAGCCCGTCACAGGTGTAGTGTACTCTCCCCCCAATAATTTGGCCTGTGCGTGAACTGTGCTTCAGTACTTATTAGTGGTTCTTTTGTGTGTGTGTGTGCTTGTTTTTTTGTTTTTTGTTTTGTCTTTTTGAGACGGGGTCTCGATCTGCAGTTCAGGCTGGTCTTGAGCTCACTTTGTAGCCTGGGCTGGTCTTGAACTCAAACTCGCAACAATCCTCCTGCCTCAACCTCCCAAGTGCTGGGATTACAGGTGTGTGCCACCATGCCCGTCTAGTGGTTCTTTTTTGTTGTTGCTTTAAATTTTCAATATTTAGATTTTTCCTACTGCCAAAATAGAAAGAAAGCCAGCCATAGTGGTGCACACCTAGAATCCCAGCCCTCAGGAGGGTCAGCATGAGTTTCAGGCCAGCCTGGGCTACACAGCAAGGCCCTGTCTCAAAAAAATAAAAAAATCCAAACCAAAAGATGGAAAACAATTTGCTCTTGTATTCCAGCACCTCCTTTCCCTTTTTACATGGGCAGCGCTGATTCGTTTGACATTTACATTGTTTATGATGTAAGAAAGGAAAGAATACAATTTTAAAAATTTTTTATCTTGGGGGCTGGGGATTTAGCTCAGTGGCACAGCGCCTGCCTGGCAAGCACAAGGTCATGAGTTCGATTCCCGGTACCGGAAAAAAAAATTTTATATTTATTGAGATATCCACATAAGTATATGCACTAAGTGTGTGACCACTACAGTCTGTCACCACGTGGCTGTCTAGCTGTTCACAGATCAGATTAAAACTCCATCTTTCTGCTGGAGCAGAGAGAGGCCGCTTTCATCACCCAACGTCCGGGGTCCCACCGGCCTGCTCGTCTGTTATTCCGACGTGAGACCCTCTGGACGGCATCTTCATCAAGTCGTCCGGAGAGGGAAAGGGAACAGCCTGGCCTTGTTTCCTGCAGATATCAGGTGGACCGCCCAGCGGCTGTGGGTCAACCACTTGGGCAGGACGAAAGGCAGCAGCGTGCTCTGCGAGGGAGAGAGGCGGAGTCAGCTCCGCCTCCCCTCCCCTCCGCACCCCGCTGAGCAGGGCGCCCGCCCGCCCGAGAGGCACCTGCACCGCGTGGCTGAAGCAGCCCGAGACGTGGGAGGAGAGGCCCAGCGTGTCCAGCGCCTCGCGGACGAACTCGTTCGCATCCTTCACGAACAGCCCGCTTGGCGCGTTGTGGATCATGTTTGTGGAGACAAACATGGGGCTCACCGTCTGCATGACAGGGCGGAAGGGGACCAAGAAACAATGCCGTTCCTCTGTCTCAAGACCCACCCGCCGGCCGCGTCTAGCTGGGCCTCCAAGACCCGGAAACCTAGTCCCCGCGCCAGATGTGGACCTGCCTAGACCCCGCCCCAAGGCCCACGCCCCACCCCGAAGCCTAGACCCCGCCCCAAGAGGAAGAGCCCTAGGCCTTAGACTACGCCCCCCGAGGCATAGACCACGCCCCCTTATGTATAAAAACCGCCCCAACGCCCAGACCCCACCCGGATGTTTGGGCCCCGTCCCCAGATGAAGACCTGCCCTAGGGCCTAGGCCCCGCCCCCGAGACCTAGACCACGCCCAAAGACTGAGGCCCCGCCCCACCCCTGCCTACCGCGAGCCCACAACCCCATCGATGCCCAATAAGCCACCGACTCTAAGTCGCCGATCTCTCCGACCCTCCAACCGCCTTCTCCTCCAGAGCTGCTACCCCAGCCACGTCCCTTTGATCCCTCCGCCCGCCCCCAGTCGGGTACCTGGATGGTGACACCCTGAGAGAAGTACTCTGCACACACCGACTCCGAGAAGAGTTGCACAAAAGCCTGCGGAGGGAGGCGAGGAAGGCCCAGGAGCGCGAGGGCCGGGAGCCAGGCAGCCCCCACCGCGTCCCACCCCCACGCCCGCTCAGCACTTTCCCACCGCAACCTCGCTGCCAGGACACAGGGCCGAGGGAGGACTCGCCCGAGGTCTCAGGATCTGGGTACCTTAGTGGCTGTGTATAACGCATAAAATGGGGCGCTCCTATAGCCGGCCACGGAAGACACGTTGATGATGACACCTTTGCCCCTGGAGGAGGGAACCATGATGGAAGGTGGTCCCTGCCCTGAGGGATAAAGGGGCGGTCCCACCCTTGACCGGAGCCCTGATCTGAAAGGGCCGGAGATATCTAGGGCCATACCACCCTGAACGCGCCCGATCTCGTCTGATCTCGGAAGCTAAGCAGGGTCGGGCCTGGTTAGTACTTGGATGGGAAAGGGCCGGGGAGAGGTGACGCATGTCCATAATCCCAGCAGTCCAGAGGCTGAGTCAGGAGGGTCAAGAGTTCGAGGTCAGTTAGAACTGGTGACTTGGAGGGGCTAGAGCATGGGGGAAGGCTGGGACTGGGGGCGGGGGATCTAGCGTGATGACAGTGCGCGGCTCCTACCTGCTGACCATCTGGGGCAGGACGATCCGGACCATCTGCCAGGCAGAAGAGGCGCCTGTGTTTCCCTGGCACTCCGCATGGAGTCGCTGTCCCCGCCCCCCTCAGGGACTGTCTCGGGCACCCCAGCCCGGCAGGATGGGCACCCTCCAGGATGGTCCCAGCTGTACTGCCCCTGGACCCAGCCCTCACGGCCCGACTGACCTGCGCCACCGACATCGTGTTGCAGTTGATAATATCGGATACGCTCTGGGGATGAAAACGCAACCAATCACTCCCTTCCGCGGCCTCATCACACCTCCCAGTTTTTTCCGAGCATAAATTCTTTCTTTTCTTTCTTTCTTTCTTTCTTTCTTTCTTTCTTTCTTTCTT